CTTGGGGCCTGTCCCTGCCCTGTTGGGACAGTTTCCAGCTTTGTCTGTAAAGTGGTGTGGCCGGAAGTGATCTTGGTCTGTGGAGGCTCCAGGCAGCAGTGCGGGGAGGTACCTGGTATGCTTCCTGGGAGTGAGGTGGGGCTGTCTTGAGCTTACCCCTGGGGGAGATTGTCTCCCTTCCTGGCCGGCCCCATTGTAGGGGGGCTGTGACCGCGCTCACACGTGGGCTGCTGTGCAGACTCGTGACTCCTGTGTCCAGGCATGAGTGAGGTGCTAAGAAAGTGTGAGTGTGGGGCCCTCAGTTTCTTTCAGGTCTTTGCCTAGGCTCCCTCTGGGGCTCTGCTGAGGGGCCAGCGTGGACACCGTTGGCGGGGCTGGTACGCCTGCCGTGCAGAGGGCGTCCGGGCCTTCGTGCCCTCGGGGCCTCGGGCTGTGCGGCTGCAGAGGGAACGCGTTCCCAGCAGGGGGCTGGCGTGCGGGGCCTGACACTGCTGCCCCGTGTCCTGCAGAAGGAAGGCGAGTTCACCCTGCACACTCGGGCCATCCTGGAGATGGAGCAGCACATCCGGGAGACGTACCCCGACGCCGTGAAGATCTGCAACATCTGCCACGGCCTCCTCATCCAGGTGCCCGTGGGCTCCCCGGGTGCGCGGCTCCCGGCTCTGGGAGGACGCCCAGGCCTCTGGCACTGCCGGCACCTCCGAGTGAGCAGAGGGCCTCTCCTCGGAGTGTTTGGGACGGCCCCCTGTGGCCCAGGGCTCTTGCCGTATTTCCTGCAGGAGGCTGTCAGGTCGGCCGCTTCTTGTCCTCTCGGCAGCTGTGGGGCCATCCTCCCGCGCCATCGCTGGCTTTCCACGGTGGGCTTTGTGGGCTTCCAGCTGCCGAGCCCGTGCTGGGCGTCAGGCGTCCTCCTCGTTGTTTACCTTTGTGCATCTCACTGCACTCTGACAGCCACTGTGCACCTCTCCCTTGTGCCTGGTGACGGCTGCCTTTGGCTGGATCCCTGGGAGGGCCTTCCTGAGACAGAGAGTGGGTGTTTTAAGTCTTTGAAACACATCGCCTGGTACTTCCTGGAAAGTCGTATCACATCCACCGCAGGATGAGGCCTACACGTGCAGGGAGCCGAGTTTCGGGGTGCTCTTGCTGCTGTGCGGGGCCTGCAGCCACCACTCCCTGCCCTGGCCTGTAGTCTTGAGCTGCCCTCGATGGAATTCTTTAATCAATGCATTGCACCAAGGACTTTGGGATCATTATCATTGATCTGGGGTTTGGGAGACAGAAATACCTAGCGTGCTGCACAGTCTCCTGAAGGTTTGTCCACAGCCGCCCCGTTCTTGTTTCAGGGTCAGAGCTGCGAGACCTGTGGGATCAGGATGCACTTACCTTGTGTGGCCAAGTACTTCCAGTCCAGTTCCGAGCCGCGCTGCCCCAACTGCAACGACTACTGGCCCCACGAGATACCAGGTTGGTGTCGCTGGGCTCCTGGGCTCTCCTGGCCTGTTCGGGGGCTGGGCTGGGAGGACGGAGGAGCCTGGGAGGTGGGGGTGTGGGGTCTGCATCAGCAGGGCCGGGACCACACGTGCAGAGGGTTCTGCGGTTAGTGGGGCCTTGTTTGCAGTTCAGAGGCTCCTGGAACTCACTAGAGAGTCTAGGGAGGGTTCTCTCCTAGCAGCCCCCTTGGGTGGTGCATGGTCACCGCTTCCCCCGGTCCTCACAGGTGGGTGGAGGGTTGCCGTGAGCACTGTCAGGACAGGGTCCCGGCATGTCTTGTGTCACTGTGAACGGGCAGTTGTCAGGAGTGTCTTTCTGGTTTTCCGTGTGCAGAAGTCTTCGACCCCGAGAAGGAGAGGGGGGCTGCACTCTCCAAGCCAAACAGAAAGTCCCTGCGGCCCAGGCAGCACTAGCCGCGTGCCGCAGGCCCGGCTGGATGACCCCATGCCTCAAGGCTCACACGAGCCACCTCCTTGGAGCTTTATTTTCCCTCATTAGTCGGTTTGAAATAAAACTTCCTGTCACCGAATCCCTCTGTGCTATGCGCCCGCCTGTGGGAAGTGCGTCCCGGTCGATCAGGCCTTCCCTGGAGCTCTCTGATACGGGAACCCTGGGCTCGGGTCCCAGCAGCCCCTGCACAGTGCTGGCCCAGGGGGCTCTCTGTCCTTGCTCGGGGAGGCCTTGCTATCACTCTGCAGCTTTGGTTACTTGTCCCACCAACACTGGGCAGCCAGATCTGCACTTGTGAGAGCCTTGGCCTTGTCTTCCCCGTGGTCTGGACTCTCCTCAGGCTCATGATGCAACTGGCCCACAGGCTTGGCTGAAGGTACTCTCCTCAGTGGGCCTTTGTTTCCCGGCTCAGTGACTGGCAGCCCTGCCCATCAGCTGCCCCAGCCCCGAACTGGGGGTTCGGCCTCCTCCCTGGCCCCCTGCATCAAACCTGTCACCACACCTGTGCTGCCCCGGGCCAGGTCCCTCCCTCACCTCCCCTCTGCACCAGCTCCTCACTGCTCGTGGCTCCAAGCGGCCCAGCCACTCCGTCTTTTCTACCAGTGACTGTCCCATGACGCCCAACAGCCTGGCGCGCCCCTGCTGATACCCCAGTGACTGCTGACAAGGACTCGGGTCCAGGCTCACAGGGCTCACAAGGCCCTTGAACGTCTCATGGCCTTTCCTGCCCCCTTTCAGCGGGGCAGCATTCCTCCCAGCTCCCAAGCGAGATCCTGCCCCTCCTGAGCCTGTGCCCTCTGCCCGAACCTCCGTCCTCGGAGCCCGCCCCTGCCTGACACCTGCCCACCCTTTAGGTCTTAGGGCGTCACTTCCTGGGTCATCACACTTGCCACACAATTTTAGTTCCCTGTCTTCCCCTCAGTGTCAGCAGGACCCTGTCAGCCACGAGGAAAACCCAGCGCCAACTGGCTTAGGCAAGGCCTTGGCCAGAGGGGCCTCCAGGAGAGGAGACCCGGTGTTCAAGGGCACTGAGCATCCAGGCCCCGCTGGTGTCAGGAGGAAGAGGGGGCTGTTAGTGGCTCCCCCACTCGGCACACATCCTCATGGTTTACAGCTCCAATCCGGATACTTGCAGAGGCGGGCGGATGGTCCAGCTGGCATTAGCACCTCAGGCTCACCGGTGAACCTGGAGCAGCTCCTCCAAAACCACATGACTGAGCAAACTGAAGGTGCTGTGCCCAGGCGGAGGGAACTGTGGCACCGAGTGCGTGGGGAGGCCGCCACCTGGGCAGGCAGCGATGCTCTGCCTGGTCCCCTCCACAAACCCAGTGTGAAGCGGGCACTGGGCAGGAACAGGTGGCACCTGCTGGTGGGAGGCTCACCCTCCCAGCACAGTCCTGTGTCCAGACCCTCAGGACCCTATGCCAACCTCGCAGCAGTGAGAAGGCCGAGCTCCATGAGCCAGCTGGGGTCCTCACAGGGCGTGTGCCAGCTGATTGGCAGAGGCCCGTGGGTGCCCTCAACTGGGTTCAGTTGTGTCAGTCAAGCAGCTGCAGGACTTTGGGGAGCTTGCAGAGACATGGGGAAGGCAGGAGAACTGTCTAGAAAAGCCCGGGGGTAAGGGTCACTCCTGTCACCTGGCACTGTTGCCACCGTAATGAACCCCAGCTGTCTTATCCTCCCAGCGCCCTCAGGATGCAGCCTCAGGGCTGGCCCTCACCCCATTCTGGCCTCGTGCAATCCCAAACGCAGGAGCTGCCCCCTGCCTCCAGGTCACACTGTGTCTTCTGTGTGTCCTCCCCGACGCCGCTGGTGCCATTCCTCCTCCGTGACCACCTCCCATGGTCCCACCAGCCTCCAGCACCGTGGTTACTGACAACGAATTGGCCTGCCCCTCCCCTGCCTGCCCTGCCTGCCTGCCCGAGGCCTGGGAACAGCTGTTCTGTCCTGTCCTCGGTGCCCGAGTGCTGCCTGCCCATCAGCCTGTGGGACAGCCCTCGGCCTGCAGATCTGACCCTCCTCCAGGAGACACGTCCAGAACCAAAGTAACTGCGGGACGCCCAGCTGGTGTTGCAGAGTTGCTTGGTGCCCCCGCCCCCATCTGGTGAGCGGGAGTGGTAGTCTGGTGGCCGGCAGGCAGGCTGGGGCATGTCTGGTATCAACTGTTGGGATCTGCCTGCTTCCTGCAGTCACAGTGCTGGGAAAGCTTTAATGGTCAAACACAAACACCACACTATTTTATACAAACAGAACCAGCACATTTATGCAAACGAGTACATGTACACGAAGAGCCTGACGTCCCGGCCTCTCCCCAGAGAGCAGGAGCTGGCAGGCTGCAGCCCCCGGGCAAGGAGGGGGCGCTGGCGAGGCTCCCGTTCTTGCTTTGGGACAGCCTCCTGGGAGGGCGCCAGGGAATGCATTCGCTCACGCTGAGACCCGTGCAGTCCCTGAGGCAGGTCCCACCTCAGCAGTAACAGCATGAAACGGAGCTCGGCTGGAGTGTCGTCCTGCTAGGCCAAGGTTGCAGGTTCAATCCCGGTCTTGTAAGAGTCAATACATATATAATAAACTGATGTCTCTGTCTGCCTTCCTCCCTCCCAAGTCAATGAATAATTAAAAAATGAAACCGCCAAAAGGAAGAGTGTCCCTGGACTTCCCACTGCCCAGCAGTCTGAGCTCTTCAGCAGGCTGGCAGGCCTCTCCCCGTGACCAGGCCATGCCCACCTGCTCCAGGGCCTGCAGGCCATGGCGTGGAGAGGCCCCATCATGGCAGCTGGGTGACAGGCACGACTGTCCAGGCTCTGCACACGCTCCACCTCCCAGACCCCATGATGAGGACCAGGGCCCCGTGTGCCAGGTGGAAACACACTTGCCCAAACCACACGGCACTTAAGCAATGGGGCCGGGTTTGGATCCAGGCAGCCAACCTCAGAGCCCAGGCTCTGCCAGGGCACACGCTGCCCGCCATTTCCCAAACATGTCAGGCCTGATCATGCCCACGCCTCGCCGCCCTGAGTGTCCTGGGCTCTGGCCGCACACGGCTGGCCGGGGCAGAGCAGCTACGACCACCAGAAGCTGACGGAGAAGCTCAGGTCCAGGGCCCGCACGTAGTGCCAGTGCTTCACCGGGATGAACAGCAGCTCTCCCGGGCACAGGATGCAGGACAGGAACGGGGCCTCGGCGAACCTGGGGAACCTCTCCAGGTCGGGATTCTCCACGTCCACCTGCAGAGACACAGGAAGTCAGTGCCCGGGCTCCGGACAGCGGGCGGGGGAGCGGCATGCCACACGGTCCCACCTGGCTCGTGTTATGAAGGAGGTGCGTGTCGTGAGGATACACAGCTTCCGACTCCTGCGGGGAATACAGGCGGATGTACTTCCTCCCGAGCACCTGGAAGAGTGACCGTCAGTGACCCGGCGGCGACCTCACCTCTGCCCCACACTGACTGCAGGTCCCCGAACCACGTCCTCTCTGCCCCTGCACCTTCCACACGCCGCTGCCCGCACCAGCCAGCCCTGTGCCCGCTGCCCATGTGCTGAGTCCAGCGTCTGTCCCTCCAGGCCCACTGCAAACCAGCGCCTGTCGCTGTGGCAGCCACCGTCCCGGTGCCTCACGAGGACCCGCTGTGACCCTACAGCGAGGGGGCGGGTCCCCCCGCCACAGAGCACAGGGCCGGTTCACAGAGCGCAGGCTGAGCGTGCGCAGGGGGCAGCCCCTCTGTGCGCCCATCGGCCTGGCTGGACGATGTTCCCATGGGTTCGACCCGGTGCTTAGGAGACTAAGGCGGCTGCACAAGCTGCTCTCTTCCGGGTCTCAGGAGAACCAGGGGCCGAGCAGCTGCTCCTCAGGTGGGGGGTTCTGGCAGGGAGGCCTGCCAGGCAGGGGCGGGAGGGGAGGCAGCAGTGAGGCCGTGTGGGATGGAGGCGCTGGGCCCTAGGATGAGCTGGGTCCAGGAAGCAATCCCACACGCCACGGCTGGTGCCACCCCTGCCTCCTGTGTCCACGGCCCTGTCGGTGGTTCGGCTCTCTGGTGTGTGAAGGTGGATAACGGTGGGCGGGCTGGGCCGGGGCGGGAGGCGGCAGGGGCTCTGGAGGACTCCCACCTGGGCCAGGAAGTTCTGCTGGGGATCCTGGTGAAGGGGGGACACGGTGCCGGGGGGCCCGAACCAGGCGTTGATGGTGATCTCCTCCTCCTCCCCGTCGCCCAGGCAGCAGTAGTCAGGGATGCTGATGTCCTGCTTCAGCTCCGGGACCTGCAGGCGGCAGAGCAGACCCGGGGGGTGAGGCCAGGCCGGGCCACGCCAGCCCAGAAGCCACATGACTACCTGACAAGGGCCAAATACACGCTGTCCTCCCGTGTGACATATGACTGGACCCGCACGTGCTGGACAGGGATTTAAAACTCAGTTTGAAAAATATAATCCCTAGGGAAGAGCTATGATGTTGTCAGACTTGTTTCCACGTCATATGCGTGTCACGCTTACTTCCTTTTAAAAAAAACCTAACACCAGCGCTTCGCCTTTGTACTCAAAGATGAACTTCCAGGCGTCCAGACATTTTCACCCAAATGCGCTCATCTCCCCTGAGGCTGCAGAGGGGGCTCAGGCAATCTGCATGAAACTAATTTCTTATAAATGTGTCTTTAATGGGCTTGATTCATCTTTACAAAAAGTTAAACCAATTGGTAATTTTCATTTTTTTTCTTTCAATTAATAGTCTCCTAAAGAGTTAATTATTTTAAAGAATCAAGTTAAAGAACAAACAAAAAGAAAATGGGCCTGACGATCGCAGTATCTCTGGAGGGGGCGTCCCCAGATTTACTAATAATGGTAAAGCAGGGACAGCCGGCACTTGCTCAGTAACTTAATTAGAGAAGACCAACAGACCAGGCACCCTCCTGAGCAATGTGGTGAGTAAGGGTGAACGCACACAGTTCACAGGTACATGATAAGGATCCCAATACAAAGGACAAACACGAAGATAACACACACGGATGACTTAGAGATAAAGGCGCGGTTCAGTCCCTTTAGCAAAAGTTCCAAATGCGATGGCATCGCCTCCCACCACTGAGGCTGCAGAGGAGACAGACCAGCGTGGTGAGGATGTGGGGAAGGGGTGCCCACGCTGGGCTCTGTGCCCCTGCAGGAAACCATCCCTTAGCGAGGCGGGCCTGGCACACCTTCAAAGCCTGCGTGTCTGGCAGGTGGAAGCGAACTTGCCTCCTTCCGTTGGGGCTGCGGGCCTCAGGAGGCTGTGATGTTCCCTCCAGGAGGCGGCGGCTGCGAGAAAGCTCCCTGCCTGCACCACCAGCGTCTGCCATCTTGTCTGCCGTCAATGGTCTGATAAGATGTACATTAACTGTCCCCTGGGCTGCTTCCTCCCCCTCCCCCCAGCCTCCCCAGCCCACGCCCCCTTCGGGCAGAGCAGTCTGACATTTTGCCGCAGGAGGAGGGTGGAGGGAGGACATGACAATCAAGGCGCTTCCGCCCTTTAAAAGCCCAGGAGGGCGAACAGCAGCCTCCGAAGCCGCACGCAGGCTGACTCCAGGTGCGGGAACCCCTGAGACAGCTGCGCTCAGCGAGTGAGGGAGACCGCCTCCTGGACATTCCCGCTGCGAGCCCAGCCCATTGATACTCAACCCGACTCCTTTACGGCTTTAACACACGGGATTCCTTCCGGGCCCAGGCTTCTGTTCCCCTGAATGTCCCAAAGCCTCAGGGCACTGCCAGGCGGCAACCCTGGCAGGGCGGGCAGGGCGCTGTCCTGGCCTCATTGGAAAGAACCAGCCAGCGGCTCCCGGTGCAGACACCTCTCCCCTGTGAACCACCGCCTGGCCTGACCCCCAGTCCTGGCCCCTCCAGAGCACCTCCAGCCCCCCGGCAGGGAGGAGTGTCCCTCAGAGCCCCTGGGGGGCCAGCCTGAGCCGCAGCCTGAGAGGGATGGCACAGCCGGGGACTGCCTCTGCTACTCAGAGGCAGCGCCTGGTCTGAAGGCGCCCGGTGGCCTCGGCAGGGAGACTGGCCACGCCGTTCCTGAGTTCGGGCGCTGAGCACAGCTGGAACGTCCTGCAGGCCCCTGACCAGACACTGCCGTCTGCGGTTAAGTCTGCCTCCAGGAGCCGGTGTAGACACAGAAACGGGTCTGCGGGCACTGCCCTGGGCTGAGGTGAAGTTTTCGGGGATCACCCCATACCAGGCCCATGGAATGCCGCGAAGCTCACTGGTTCCTGATGACATCATCAGGATTTCCGAAAGGTGATGTTATCAGCGCACTGGCCCAGGATTCAGAAACCTCAAGAGAAGGGAACACCCCTAAACCCTCCCGCACCCCGTCCTGGTAATATGAATTATAGTTAAAAGCAGGCCCAGTGCAGTGGCCAATGTATCCTGATTCCGGGGTCTCTGGGAGGAAGTCAGGGAGAGACACTGGGGCAAGAGGTCTGAGTGGGAGGCCCTGAGCCTCACGTGGGCAGAGAAGGCGCGGGGAGCAGCGCAGAGACTGCCAGCCCCTCTGCCCGCATGCCGCCACACTTCCCACCGCTCCGAACACAGAGGTGAGAACACCCCTGGGGACCCCAGATAAAGACCCTGGGCAACAGCCAAAACATCTTAAAATAATCACAAGCTGCCTTCTCTGAAAACAGTCTCCTCTTGCCAAAACCGGTTTGGCTCAGTGAATAGGGCGTCTACCTGCGGACTGAAAGGTCCCAGGTTCGATTCTGGTCCAGGACATGTACCTTGGTTGCGGGCACATCCCCAGTGGGGTGTGCAAGAGGCAGCTGATGATGATTCTCTCTCATCGATATTTCTAAGTCTCTGTCCCTCTCTCTTCTTCTCTAAAAAGTCAATAAAATATATTAAAAACAACAAACAAACAAACAGCCTCCTCGTGTTCTAGCCCGATGGCTGCTTTGGGGCAGGGAGCTGAGATTCAGCTCACACAGTAGGGGACAGGGGCAGCCTGCTCTGTGCACCCATCCGATCCATCAGAGCCCCCTTCTCTTAGCAGGAGAGTTCAGGAGGCAGGGCCTGTGAGGCCTGGGAAGACAGCCTGCCCAGCCCCCTGTAACTTTGGGGGGAGGTTCCAGGAGGCTGGCGCAGCCCCTACTGAACCCGGGACCCCTCACCCTGCCCGTCAGACAGGCAGTGAGGACAGTTGGCTCCCAAACCTAGGCATCTTCCTTGATTGCTCCCTTCCCCTCAGCCTCGGCCACACACCAGTGTCCAGGCGCCAGCACCCAACATGCTGGAAACACCGCCCTCCAGTCCCCCATCACTTTCAGAAGACTGTCCTTCCTCACCCAGCCCCCCCTAACCTCACCACCCCCCCTCTGCTGCTCCTGCCCCCTGAAGGTGAAAGTCACTCCTGTTGCTCTCCTCGCTGCCCTTCCTGTATCTCCTCACATGGCTCACTGGTCCCTGCTCCAATGTCACCCCGAGACACCCTCCCGGCGGTGTCTCCCCCCCCCCCCCTCAGCCCGCTCTCCCGCCAGCCTCCTCCTGGGAGGCCCCTCCTTCTCTGGGGCCTCATCACCGTCCGAGGGGGTGGGCTCAGGCCCCCGGGCGGGAGGGACTCTGACATCTTACCCGTATCCAGGGCAGAGCCCATGCCTGGCGCACAGGGGCCTGCAGAGAAGCCCTCTCCCTCCCCGGGACAGCGGATGGCGCTGGCAGCGGAGCGCACCCTCACTCCTGCCCCTTCCCGTGGTTCTTCTGTGATTTGCATTTAAAAACAAGTCTGCCTTCTCTCATTATGACGAGCGTACACACTCATCCTAGGTGATCTGGAAACTACAGAAATGAGAAGGAAAGACCGCCCAGCGCCCACAATCACTGCTATCTGTGTGGCATTTCCCGTCCTCAGTACAGCAGGAGCCTCCTTTACCCAGTCCTGCACCTGGTTTTCTCACATCCCACAGCCAGCAGGTCCCGAGCTCCCAGGACCGCTTCATGAGCGCCGTCACCCCGAGCCCAGCCCCCGAGCCCCGGCAGGGAGGGCACAGTGCTGGGGCTCCCGGCGTGCCCACGCTGGCCAGGCCGCCTCTCCTGTCTGCTCACAGGCGCTGAGTCGTGACAGCGGCACCTCTGCTCCCTACGCAGTGGCCCCCTCACTCCCCACCGCCCCATCACCGTCCCTCAGAAGCACCCGGCTCCCTGGCTCCCTACTGGGTTCCGTTGGAAACAATGCCTCTTACTAGGAACCCTCCTGTTAAAAACCTCACAGGCTCCTTCTGTTTTCCAGATAAATCTGAGTTACTGGCCTCATTCAAGGCCCTCCCGTTCGGCCCAGCCTCCCTCCTCACCTGCTCCCTGCTCTGCAATCCCGGACAAACCCGCCCAGGCTGGCTGATGTGCCTCTGGCCTCTGAGAGGCACTGCTCGCTGGGAGCGCCTCCTGCCTCTGGCCTCGCTGAGCCCCTTCTCCCAGCTGCAGCCTGCGCCCCTTCCTCATCCAGGCTCAGCACGTGTGTCCTGGGGCCTTAAACTGGCCCCCAGGGCTGGGTACCCAGGGAATCAAACCCGGCCCTGCTACGAGCCGCAGGCCCACGGTGCGGGGCCTTGCCGGGGGTCATCTGAGACGTGGTGAGGGCGGTGCCAGGATGTGCCCAGAAAACTGCTGCAGGGAAGGCAGCGACTTGCTCTTCCTGGGCCAGGTCAGTCTGCCACCTTTGCCTGCTGCCCAGGACTCCTCTTCCAGGTCTGACCACATGTGATGCTTGTGGACGCCCCCCTCTCCCCCGCCTCCCCCTGGGCCCTGGGCTCAGCACACCCGGCCCCTCTGGCTTGGTGGCCTTGCCTGCTCCCCTGCCACCTGCTGGTGGGGAGGGCGATGCACAGGGTGCCAGTCTGCTCTCTGCAGGGAGCAGCACCAGTGGGTGGCAAATGAGCTGCTACCCTTTGCTGCCCTCTGGACTCAGAGCCCAGGAAGGAAGCAGGGGAGCTGAGCCAAGGGCAGAGGAGTGAAGTCTCAGACTTACCTGGTCGAAGAGCTGGTGCTGGGCCAGGTACCCGACGTCCCTCGGCTGGTCCGTGGGAGGAAAACCAGAGGTGACACAGAAAGCGCGTTAGTGGTGCTGGGCGCCCTCCAGTGCTACTCCTGTTTGGCTGGCTCTCAGCACCCGCGTGCCCCTGCCCGCCCTGGCAGCCACCCAGAGGGCCCTCCTCGGTCCTGCTGGTCCCCTCCTACCTCCCATTGGCTGATGTGAACTCAGGACCGGTGCTGCCTTTGCTGGAGTTTGTCAGCCTGTGCCCATGGCTCAGTTAACTCACATTAAAAAAGAAGGGGCGTGCCCTGCCGGGTAGCTGAGTTGGTTAGAGCATCGTCCCCATACACCAAGAGTGTGGGCTGGATCCCATTCAGGGCACATACAAGAGTCAACCAATGAATGCAGAAATAAGTGGAACCAATTGCTGTTTCTCTACCTTCCTCTCTCTAAAGTCAATGAAAGAAGGGCAGATACGTTGGTTCGATCACTCCTTTCTGCCGGGGAGCCGCGGAGTCAGCATCGCTGGTCTCCCCGCCCGCAGTCGTCAAGCCTGCTAAGTCCGAGTCTCGCAGAGCCAACAGCTGCCAAGGCTCTTCTGCGGAGGCCTGGGCTTTGAAACAAACGAGGTGAGTCGGAGGAGCCCTTCTGAGCCAGGGGGACACAGGCCCTCATGAGATCCACCACTAAGCGCCCCGAGGCTCTGGGTTTGTCACGATGCCACTGGGAGCAGGTGGATGCAGCCACGGATGCCAGGCCAGCGAGGGTGGGAGTGTGTGGAACCGGAGGGCGGTGTCCACAGGGATCTCAAGACCTGGAGCCCACCGCCCTGCGAGGAAGATTTCTGCCGAGGCATTGAAGAGGGCCTGGAGAACTATCTAACGGGCTGTTCTCAACTGTGGGAACGGAGTGACTGAAGCCACGGCTGAGCCAGGCAGTGGCGAGAGGCTGCTTCGGTAACCTTTGGTGGCCGGACTCCACAGACGAGACTATCATTCGGAAATGCCATCCTGCGAACGGCCGCACTGAGAAGAGAGGGACAAAGAGGTCGAAGGGCTGTGGACAGTTCGGAGGCGGCCGTGAGGCGTTTGGCGGGAATGGAGGGGGCTCTGTGGCTGAGTGGCTCTGTGGCAGTGGGGGTGGCGGCTGTCACGGCTTTGGTAACGACGGAAGCAGTTTTGGGGGTGGCGGAAGCTACAGGGATTTGGGCAATTACAACACTGTCTTCACATGCTGGACCCATGAGAGGAGGAAGCTGTGGAGGCACAAGCTCTGGCCCCTATGGTGGTGGGAGCCAAACCATGAAACCAAGGCGGCTGTGGCGGCTCCAGCAGCGCAGGGTCAGTTACTGCAGGAAACAGCGCTCCGCAGGGGGGAGGGCAGAGGGCCTGGGGGGCTGCGGGTCATCGGCGGTTTGGGAACTCAGCCTGGCTCCGTGGTAGAGGGCCTGGCTGCCACGACGACGTGGTTCAGACCAGCGGCCGCCAACCGAGGGCCGCAGACCATGGTGGTCCCTGAGGTCTGAGCGGCCGGCGACCGCTGGTTTAGACAACACTCACGTGGAAGGGCAGAAGCCTCGAGGGCTGTGCTTGTGACTAATTGTGTATCAGGTTCTCTTAGCTTCTGTTCTGTGGAAAGTGGAAAGCGTTCCGACAAAGGGTTCTGATGTAGAGTTTGGCGCCGTGCTGATTGCTAAATGGAATAGTGGGATCATGACACCGAGTGGATGTGTCTTCCATTCCACGTGCTGTGTGAGCTAGTCTGCTCTGAAGCCATCTTGGTAAAATTACCCCGACGGTGCGACAGGGAATCATTTCAGAGTGATGCCAGGTTCCATCTGAAATGTGTTTACAACCTGCTGGGCACAGAAGCCAGTGTCTGCAGAAGCCCTGGCGTGCTGAACTCACAGCTACTGCGTCGTGGCCTGGAGTTCACCGTTAAAAGGGCCACCAAGCAGAGTCATGGAGTCTATTTGGTTACTAACGATTGTTGGCATGTCCTGTGCAATATAGAAACACTGAATTAAGGCACCAGATAAAATTACAGATGGGAATGAAACCTGTGTAGCACCCATTACCATGTGTAATCAATAAACAACTTAATATCCTCTTGGAGAAAAGAATGAGGGGGATGATTTAAAAGTATAAAAATGGAATTATATTATATGTATTACTTAGAAATCTTTTTTCATTTAATACACCACGAATCTCTCTTCAAGTCAATACATACGTGTTGGATACATGCTTTATTGACAGATACACCTATTATTAACTCACCTCTCCCCCTACTGGTTGACATTGTGGTGGTTTTGCCCATTTAGGTTGTTTGCTAGTGTTTCAATCAACAGCCTAGTAATCTGGTCCTTATATTCATACCAGAGGCCCAGTGCATGAAATTCATGCACGGGGTGCAGAGGGAGAGCTCCCTCTCAGTGCAGCCTGCACCCTCTCCAATCCGGGACATCATTCTCACAATCCTGGACCGCTGGCTCCTAATTGATCAACTGCCTGCCTGCCTGGTACCCTCTAACTGCACCCACTCCCTGTGCTGGCCTGATTGCCTCTCACTGCCCCCTGCTGCTAGCCAGGTTGCGCCCAACTGCCCCCTCCCTGCTGGCCGGGTGGCTCCTAACTGCCTCCCGCCTCCGCTGACCTGGTCACCCCTTACTGCCCACCCCTGCTGGTCTGGTCACCCCCAACTGCACCCCCACTGCCAGCCTGGTCATCCCTAACTGTGTCTCCCCCCTCCCTGCCGGGCCAAATGTCCGCCCCCTCTCCCGCCGGCCTGGTCACCCTACACAGACTGCTGTTCAGCCATTTGGTTGCTCCTCACTAACCCCGCTGCCGTCCTGGTCGTAGGCAACCATCTTGTGAGGGTGTGGGGGTTAATTTGCATATTACCTCTTTACTATTTAGGAGGATATTATGTCCAAAAGCAGAACTGAGTCAAGGAATATGTGCTTTTTAAATTTTCATAGCTTCTGCCAGGTTATTTGCCCCAAAATTAAATGATTTAGACTCTCTAGCAATTATTGTGAGCACCCATTTTCCTACATCTTTGGGGATTATCATTGTGTGAAAAGGTCAGTTTTACACACGGAGGTCTTCTCTGCAGGTGTCTGGGCCTCGGTGAGGATCCAATGGAGGATGGGAGGAACGCCAGGCACGCCCTCAGGCTCCAGGGCAGAGTTGGCTTGGCCTTAAGCTCTGAGGCTGAAACGGTGCTGAAATAAAGAAGTTCCTCCAGGATTCCTCAAAGATCTGTCTTTCTGTCTCTCTCCTTCATCCTCTCTTCCTTCCCACAAACAGTTTACAAAATGCCAGACTCCTGGCGCAGAGGAGACCGAAGGCCACGGTAACTGAGCGCCGAGCCGTGCTTGGAGCTCCATGTGCTACTCTCACAAGCACCCGGGAAGTGCCGTAACCTCTCACTAACCCCACCGCCCCCAGCTGACCAAGGGTCAGGGCGCTGGCGATCCGAGAGGTTAAGTAACCAGTCAAGGACACACAGCAGCCAGGCCCGTGCTGGATGCAGTGCTGTTCTGCCTGAACCCCAAGCGCACATCCTGACCCCACTCCCCCTCTGGTTCCGCCTTTGCGGAGCAGGCAGGCTTCCTCCCCAGCCCTGTGGGGGGCATGTCTGAGCAGAGGTGGATGTGCGCTCGGCGCGTCTCTAGCCCACAGCTCCCTTCCTAGGCCTCCCGGGGACAGCGAATGAGCAGGGATGGGTCGGGAGGAACGCAGACACAGGAATGGAAGGACCTCTGTGAGCCGAGTGCCGTGGAGGGGGAAAATGTAGGAGCACAGAGATGGGGTCGGGAAGGGTCCCGGGTGGTCTGTCAGGAGTTCAGTCACAGGGTGAGAAGGCCAAGAGAGGAAACCTTAGCCCCACGGTCACCGGCCTGGACCGCCAAGAGCAACAGACCCATGGCCAAATCGGTGCGAGCTTTACAGAGCCCCCGGGCTGGGGGTGGGCTGCCAGGGGCGGCGGAAGAGCTGCAAAGCACTGATGCTCACTGCGCGCACCTTGTGAAGACCTTGCCCACCAGAGTGCGGGTGAACACTCCTCCCCTGGAGGGTCCGGACCCACCCACAGGCTCCCCTTGTCCCGCCAACAGGGATGGCTCAGGCCCTGGACAGACAAGCTGCGTCCTCTGCCACCGGCCAACCAGTAAGAATCTGAAGGACACCAGGCGCAGCAGCTCGGGAAAACAGTGTGGCAGTTAGCTCCTCAGAGGGGTGAGCTCAGAGCTACCGCGTGGCGTCACCAGCAATTCCACTGAGTATATTCCTAACGGAAACCAGACGATGTCCGCACAATACACGGATGCTCAGAGCAGCACTGCTTTTCTAAATCCTCACCCGGGGACATGCTTTCACTGATTTTTGGAGAGAGTGAAACATCAATTGGTTGCCTCCCCTATGCACTCCGACGGGAGATTGAACCCGCAACAACCTAGCTTTGTGCCGACAGGGAATTGAACCCACAACCTTTCTGGTGTATGGACGATGCTCCAACCAACTGAGCCACCCCACCAGGGCTCCAGCAGCATTTTTGATACCAACGAAAAGTACACACAACTCAAATGTCCCAACAACTGATGGATGGATAAACACGTGGTCCACACACAATGGAATATGACCAGCCATACAAAGGAATGAAGGGCAGCACGGACAGATGAGCTTGGACATGAGGCTCAGTGACAGAAGCCAGGCACAGAGGGCCACATGCTGTCTGACTCCATCTACAGGAACTGCCCAGAGCTGGCAAACCCACAGAAACGGTAGCAGGCTAGCAGGTGCCTGGAGATGGCGGAAAACAAGTGGGAGCGACTATTACTTAGTTTGGGGTTTCTTTGGGGAGTGATAAAAATGTTCTGGAATTACATAGTAGGGATGGCTGCGCAATTTTAGAAAATACTCAAAACATTGAAATGTACATCAAAGTTTTTGAAACGAGCCCCTCATGTCATGTCACGTGGCCACCTGCCTACCCAGCAGCCTGCCTTCCTGGCTGTGGCCACCTCTGGATAAGCCGCTAGGGACCCTACCCTCTGGATAAGACTCTTAGAGACTGGCTACTCCCAACCCTCTGGGCAGCGCACGGAGGTTATGTGCCCAAATGTAACGTGTCCCCCTGAAGTATTAGGAAGGAGTCAGAATGCACACCTCATTCAGGACGTAGTTGTCGATGAACTCACTGACCGTCATGAGCCTCTGGGACCATTCCTCGTCTGTGTACCTGGAGCCCACTTCCACCGGGACAGTCCGGCAGCCGGCAATCTCTTGTATGTACTCCAAGCTATCAGGAAACAGACACGCCATTTCGTCACTGCTGCTCGTGCTGGCAGGGCCCGCTGCTAAGCCCGCGGGACCCTGGCCTCCTCTCAGCATCACCGCTTGCGAAGTGGAAGCTGCCACCCCATTGCACCGGCCAGACCTCACGGGCAGGGTGAGGCTCCGCCCACCGGGCGCTGGTGGCTGGGCAGACAGATCCGGTAAACCGCATTTGCCTCAGTTCTCCCAGGCCGCTCTGCTTACGGCTGGCCAGGAGCCTTCTCTCTGCACGCCTTGTCACTCAGCTGAGTAAATGGCCGGCAGTACAGGGTGGAGAAGTGCCTGGTCTCAGCCGGTGGCCCGGCATTGACTCCAGACCCTGCGGCAACAGACCTGAAGTTACCTAACCTTGCTGAGCCTCTGTTCATCACTGCAAAATGCTGGTGACAACTGTGCCCGCAGGAAGCAGGATAAAGAGGGTGAACATGGCAAGGGCCTGTCTTGGCGCCTGGTACTCAGTGAAACATGTACCATGCCGACACACTGCAAACATGCAACACTACTGGCACGCAGTGAAACATGTAACATGCCTGGCACACGGTGAAACGTTCCGGGCACGTATGCTGCACGCTTGCTGGGACGTGAGCTGCTGCGCTTAGAGCTGCTCCTCTGTCTCAGGGGAGCCACCCCCTCCGCATGGCTAGCACCATGACAGGCCGAGTCGCTCACCCTTCTCTCGAGACCCTCCTCATTTCCGAAAAGATGCTCAGCTATGGCAATACCACCACCTCCAGCTGCCTGTCCCCGAGCCCGGGCCTGAGGCTGAGGCTGAGGCGGGCCTGCAGGCCGGTGTGAGGAGGAAGCAAATTAAGAGCCGAGGTGCCCAGAGAAGGGGACAGGCTGTGTCTGGGGCTCTTATTTCTCCTCCCAAACCTCAGGGCCCTCAAGGAAGTGCACAAAATCCTACAAAACTGCGCAGGAGACTTAACCCTGGACTGTCCCCGAAGCCCGCACTAAAAACGGCTTCTGGCAAGCATTTGGGGGGGGCGAGAGTCTTAGATCGTAGTCCAGAGCTCTGACTATTACTGTTTGTTTTTAATCCTCACTCAAGGATATTTTTATTTATTGTTTAAAGTATTACATATGTCTCAAAAAAAAAAAAAATAAAGTATTACATATGTCTCCTTTTCCCATTTTTATTTTTTTAATTTCAGAGATGAAGGGGGAGAAACACTGACATGAGAGAGACACATCAATCGGTTGCTTCCTGTATGCACCCTGACCAGGGATTGAACCCGCAACCTAGGTGTGCGCCCTGACCAAGAATCGAATCCACAACTTTTTTGTTAATCCTCACCTGCGGGTAATTTTTCCATCAATTTTTAGAGAGAGTGGATGGGAGAGATGAGGAGAGAGAGAGAGTGAGAGAAACGACGTTATGAGAGAGACACATCAACTAGTTGCTTCCCGAATGCACTCTGACCAAGACTGGGGACTGAACCTGCAACCCAGGTATGTGCCCTTGCCCTGCAGCCTACAGTGTGGAGGTTGATGCTCTAACCATTGAGCGCGACTGGCCAAGGCTGAACTCACCACCTTTTGGTGTAAGGGACAACGTGCCAACCAGCTGGGCCACCAGGCCAGGGCTGTCAGCTCTTGTTTAGCCCTCAGCCCCTCCCCAGGGCCTGGTGGTGCCGTGTCCAGGGGCTGTGCTACGTGGGGGTGCTAGGGAAGAGTGTAGGGACCTGGGAATGCTGAAATGGAGGGAGGACCTCCGGCCCTCAGCAGCCACCCACCTCCACTTCTTCATGCACGGCCAGTGGTCAGCCACACCTTCCAAGATCACCGGCGTCTGTGGGACCAAATGATGCTTCCGGAAATGCTGCAGCGACGGACAGCGAAGCCGGGGGACTGCTCTCTCTGACCGCAGATCGGGGATCGAAACATGGCCGTTCCTGGCCTTCTGTTTAAGATAAGACAAGCAGGTGGCAAACCACTGAGGAATTGGCATCAGTGGTAGGAGAGCTTTGGGGTCATTGGTAACAATAATAGCTAACATTTATCATCATCATTACTGCAGCTGCTGCTGTTCACTTCTAAGAGCAAGCTATTTTTTTCTTTACCAGGTCATTTCCAATGTTTGTTCAATTATAAAAGTAATATGTTGCTTTCAAAGAAATTCTGCAACAAAGGAAAACTTCCTGTCCCACACTCCAACATCTAACATAGGAGCATTCTTTCTCATTCTCTAGTTCCTTCCCCACCATCTCACAGATGCACCGCTGATCCACGGGTAACATACGCATGATGAACAAGCAACTCTGCCCCTCCTGTCCAATAATTTATCGAAAACAGTTTCCCCGATACCACCAGTCCTTGCAATGTCCCAGGAGTGTTTGCATCATAATTTACTTAATCATCTCCCAACTGACTGACCTGAGTTACTAACCCTGAGCTTCAGTTTCCTTCTCTGTTAAACTACTGGGAGACGAGTTATGTGTGTGAAGGACCCAGGATGACCGCCTGGCGTGTGGCAGCGTCCTCTGCCCCCATCGCTGGACCCCACGCCGGTTCAACACCTTGGCAGCAGCGCAGCTGACATCCTTACATGCAGGCGACGAGCTGGGACCTGCACCTGCCTGTGCTCTTCGCGTCACAACAAGCTTTATGTTTACACTAGAGGCCCAGTGCACGGAAGTCATACACGGGTAGGGTCCTTAGCAGCTGCCGGCTGGGGCCTTCTTTCGTCTGCGCCACCCCCTGGTGGTCAGCGCACGTCATTCTGAGCGATCGAATTCCCGGCCGGTCAAACTCCCAAGGGGGCACTTTGCATATTAGGCTTTTATATATATTAATATATAGATGTCCCTTGTCAAAGAGGCCTTCCCTCAACACCTCCCCGAAGCTGCCTCCCCCCACCTTTTACAGCCTCACTAGACTGTCAGCGCTGGGAGGACAGGGCCTGGGCCCTTCTGTGCCATCAGCGAGCGGCTGGCTCATCTGGGCCACTGTTGGTGCTCCATAAAGCTGCTGAGAAACCCCTCTTACAGGCAAGGGAGCAGAGGGGCCCAGAGGGACTAACACACTTGCCTGACTCAACCCTGGCAGGCTGCTCCGGAGCCTGAGCTCTCAGGCCCTTACCTATTAGCATATCCATGGGCCAGCACGCACCATGAGGACCACCTTGGCCACGAAGCCACCTCCACATGCCCTTGGGACAGACTTAGCATGGGAAAGGACACTGTAACACATGCGTCAAGGGGACAGGTTTTTGTCCCTTGATCTACATGTCTGCCCTGCCCTCTCCAAGGTCAGTGTCACACCATGTACTTAGCTCTAAGGCACCCCTGACAACGCTGGGTACTGAATAAAAGCTCGTTTAATAATTTCACAGCTAAAAATGACTGCCTGTTTTTGCATTTTTTAAAACCAAGATACTTTTTATAGATCTGTCTCCTCCTTGTGAGCAGACTTGCCCAGAGGTCTGTGTCAGTGCTAGGCTCTGAGGCCATCTCAGTGAACCATCCTTTGCCACATGCACTTAAACACCAGAGGGGACATGTGCAAGGATCTCCAGGGCGGGACTGACCAGCCACCTGACCAGCAGAGAGCTAACTGTGGTGTCTCCCAAACTCAGCAGCACAGACAGAGGCAGCCAGGAAAGTGGGCAATACTTCAACCAGCTGACCAAGAAGCTGAAGGAGATGGGCTGGCTGGCTGCCCTCTCACCCACACCACCCCTGAGCCGTTTCTCTCAGGAATGACAAAACTGCCACCCTCCCTCTCCCTAAAGGACCCTGGGGCTGCAAAAACTGGAAGAAGAAACTGAGAACCGAGATGGAGATGCTACTTTCAGCCAGAGAGGTGACCTGTCACTTCCAGAAAACAGGGCTGCGGGGCTGTTAGGTGTGGTCGCAGACAATCCCGCCACAATACCTTTACGCGGGGCTGCTCCGGGGCCGGGCTGTGGGCGGGCCTCTTCCCAGGGAGAAGGTGCGCCTGGAGGACGGCGGCGACTTTAATGAGGATGTCGTCGAAGATGGCCGCTCCCATCAGCAGGCCCATGTCGCAGACTCTGAGGGCTGCGGCCACGGCGGTCGCGTCCCCGGGCGCTTCACACAGACACACGGCTTTCAGGAGGCAGCCGAAGGCGTACACCCGACGCCAGTCTTTGTCCACGTCCTGCCACAGCCCGGTGTTGAGCTTCTCCCAGGAGTAGTCCAGGACCACCTCACTCGTCTGCAGACACTCGCTCCTCCGGCCGCTGTGGAAGAGGTCAGCGGCCTGCTGCAGCAGCAGCACCACACTCCTCTCCACGCTCTCACCGAGGTCCAACCACAGCTCCTCTTTCGTGCGGGGCAGCAGCGCCCGGAGGGCCCCCCAAAGGGCTCCTGGCCCCGCCGGCGCGTCTCGGTGGCTGTCTTCTGCCATCAGGCCCACTGCCAGCTCAGGCCGAGTGCTAGTGGAGGAAGAAGTGAAAGCTGCGGCAAACACTTGAATCCATACAATTCTCGTTTCTTAAAATAAAACTGTGATATCCAGCAGCCAACATGTCAACCACTGAGACTTAGAAAATACATATGTATAGAGAGAGAGGGAGACCACATGCAGACTTGGTCCCCTGTAGGTTCCTACACTTATCCTTTACAAAACACATCTCATGTGCATGTGGGAGGGTTCTTCAGCAGTGGATTCCTCTGCTAGGCATAAACTCTGAGGGCAGGGCCCGGTCTGTCTGCGGTCATCACTGTATCTGCAGGGCCTGGCACCATACCAGGCATGCAGTGGGCACAGGATAAATATGTGCTCGGGAAGAATGTTTATCCCTCTTCTCTGGCAGACCTATCCAACCTTCAGCCCACCTGCAGTGACCACTGAAGGGGCCCGCCAAGGCCCTCAGGCAGTGTTTTGTGTTCAAACAGCCCCGGAGTGTCTTCTACAGCAGCTGTCACATGTAGCACTAATACCTGCTTACATGTCTCTTTCTAACACCAGCTTGTGAGCTCTTCAAAGGCAAAAACATCGCTCTACATTTCCCTGGAACCTATAAGCCGTCCGGCTTGCAGCAGGCACTCAACGAAGGCTACTGAAAAAGTGAGATCTTAACTTCTCAGGAAGAAACCTGACGACAGGTACCTTTTGAAACTGAGGTCCTTATGACTGACTTAGTTTTAAATCCTTGCTCTAGAAACCCTATCCCTTTCTCTCTCTATACTCCTCGGAGACCTAGCCTTTCCCCTGGATAAATCAGGACCCGCCTCAGAAGGCAGTAGCCTGGGCCTGACTCATGGTATCCCAGTGCCCATCTCTGGCAGCCTTAGTTCTGAGCCCTAAGGTGGAATGACCCCCTGGCTATTTTCCCATGAGACCGGACAGAGAGACCCGGAAAAGACCTCAAAGCTCTCAAGATCTGAAGAAAAGCTTCTTTCTCCTCATCTCACCTTCTCATCATCGGCACCCAGCACAACCGGAACCCCTAACCCACGGTGTCTCGTGCCTTTGCCGGACTAATCTATAATCAAGCTCCTGCTTTTGAGCATTAGCTCCCTCCTCCTAGATGGCGCCCCTCATCAATAAGTAGCCAATATTTCTCCACTTTGACTCTCGGGTTTGGTGTTTGGCTCTGCCTGCCCTGGGCGACTGGCTCTTTCTGTCGCTGTGACCCCAACTCCTCTCCCCCCAGATGGCTACCCCTAAAGTGACTTACCAGGTTTTGCATCCTGAGGGGCACGATGCGGTACTGATGCCGAGTTAGCTCCTACCGGGTGGGAAAGCACGGTCCTTAAGGCGCCCAGCGCGCGGGCCCTGCCCACACCCTCCCTCCACCCGGGCCTCACACCATTTCCCTTCCCGGCGCCGCTCCCCGGGCTCCTCTCTGGCGGGCCACTCAGAACCCTGCGGTCCAAACCTTTCCAGTCCGCCCAGTTCCTGGCCGGAGACAACGCCGATTGGCTCGGCAGCTACCGGAAGAAACAAAAGACCGCGCAGGCGCACTAGAATCAAACCGAGACAACACAAGAACTGCGCAGGCGCACAACACCCTGGCTTGTAAGCCTGCGCAAAATTCTGAAATAAAACCACTGCCCATGCGCAGGGCCTTTCTACCCGCCGTTGCTCTGGAGACTTGGAGCGCTGCAACCCGGCATTCTCAGAGCGCATGCGCTGGTTCTGGCGCGTCTCCCAGGAGCCTTCCAAGGCGCGTGCGCGAAGCTATCCTCTCTGGATTGGCTCCTTAATCCAACGCCTGCGCAGTTCTCCCCTCCTCGTGGGAGGAGTCACTCCGCCCTCTCGAGTAATTCCAGCGGGGACTCGTTCCTATTGGTCCGTACCGGCCCCGCCCCGACGTGTCAGATTTCCCCGGGGACGTGTGAGTGTCGCCTCTCACAGCTCCTCGGTCGGACGGAGTGCCTGGAGGAGCGGTGGGGGCCGCCGGCCTTCCCGGGGTAAAGGCCTGAGGCCACAGGCCGCGCACAGCTGGGCTGCTTCAGTTTTCTTCCACGTGGGTCCTGCCTGCGTTTCCTCTGCGATGACAGCTTCACCGCCATCATTTTAATCTAATCTTTACAGCTAAGGTCATGAGCTTTCGATTTCACAGCGGGGTAGACCGAGGTCGGTGAAATAAAGTGGCCAAATCCTGTACCTTTGGAAAGTGACAGGTGCAGACTTGGAGCTCCAGGTGCTGCATCTGCGACACGACTTGGGACACAAGTGCAGATCTGTCACTAAGGAGCAGGTTCCAGTGGATTGAAATATTGGTTAAAGGGGATTCTGCTAAATCAACTTCACAGAATTCTTTTTATTTTGTTATTATTATTTTAAAAAAATATATTTTATTGATTTTTTTACAGAGAGGAAGAGTGAGAGATAGAGAGTTAAAAACATCGATGAGAGAAAATCATCGATCAGCTGCCTCTTGCACACCCCCTACTGGGGATGTGCCTGCAACCAAGGTACATGCCCTTGACTGGAATCGAACTCAGGACCTTTCAGTCTGCAGGCTGAGGCTCTATCCACTGAGCCAAACCAGTTTTGGCAACACAGAATTCTTTTAAAAAAAATATATATATTTTATTGACTTTTTACAGAGAGAAAGGGAGATAGATGGAGAGATAGAAACATCAATAAGAGAGAAACATCGGTCAGCTGCCTCCTGCACCCCCCCCCCCCCACACACACACACACACTGGGGATGTGCCCGCAACCAAGGTACATGCCCTTGACCAGGATCGAACCTGAAACTTTTCAGTCCGCAGGCCGATGCTCTATCCACTGAGCCAAACCGGTTTTGGCCAGTTTTATTTTTACTTGACAGTGGGTGGCAGAGACTAGTTGGGTGGGCATTTGGTCTCTAGGACCCCAGACAGGCCCATAGAAGGGGCCAAACTCAGGACCCCTGATTCTTTTCCACAGTGGTCAGCAGTGAGTAAGGGTGCTGCCTGCCAGGCAGAGACACTTCTTTGCCAGCTTGTTTGTGTTTTTAAAACTGGCTTGCTGAAATGTGTTATAGGTACAGATGAAGTGTTTCATACAAGAGAAGAACCACAACCTTTCACCAGGGCTTCACTTCCTGTAGTGTCATTGCCACCTGCCTCGGCTCTCCCACCCCCCTGCCACTTCCCACACCCCCATTCCCAGCAGCCTTGAAATTGGCCATTAGCTGACAGATACTTTGATTTGCAAAAGTGGTGGCATTACCATGCAACTACCTCATCTTCAACATGTTTCTAAATATTGGGACAACATTACATTTCTCATGCATTATGTATACCACCTCTACGTCCAGAAAGGAAGTGAGGCTGATCACCATTATAAAACTAATAGAGACCTGGTGCATGAAATTCGTGCACGGGTGGGGAGGAGGTGGGGGGGTGGGTGTCCTTCAGCCCAGCCTGCACCCTCTCTAATCTGGGACCCCTGGAGGGATGCCCACTAGGATTGGGCCTAATGGGCTGTCAGACATCCCTCTCACAATCTGGGACTGCTGGCTCCCAACCACTCACCTGCCTGATTGCCCCAACCTCTTCTGCCTGCCAGCCTGATCACCCCCTAACCACTCCCTGCCAGCTTGATTGATGCCTAACTGCTCCCCTACCAGCCTGATTTCCCCTAACTGTCCTCTCCTGCCCCATCTGGTTGCCCCCAACTGCCCTCCCCTATTGGTCCAGTCACCCCTAACTTCCCTTCCTTGCCAGTCTGGTTGCTCCTAACTGCCCTCCCATGCCAGCCTGGTTGCCACCAACTGCCCTCCCCTGCTGGCCTGGTTTCCCCTAATTGCCCTCCCCTGCTGTCCTGGTTACCCCCCAACTACCTTCCCCTGCATGCCTGGGTCCTCTCCAACTGCCCTCTCTTGTTGGCACGGTCACTCCTAACTGTCCTCCCTTGCAGGCCTGATGGCCTCCAATTGCCCTCTTTTTCAGGCTTGGTCCTTCCCAACTTCCCTCCCCTGCTGGCCTGATCCTCTACAAATGCCCTCCCCTGTTGGCCATCTTGTGTCCACTTGGGGGCGGCAATCTTTTGTGTTGAAGTGACAGTCAATTTGCATATTAACTCTGTATTAGAAAAGATACATTAAAGAAGAGGCAAGAGGCAAAAAGTTAGTGACTTGATTTTTATAAAATTTAAGAAATACATAAGATTTCTAATATATGACATCTAAAATAATTTTTAAAATATATATGAATTTATTTTTGTGAATTATAATTCAGGATTTTTGTTTGCTCAGAAAGCTTATTGCATTTAACGTATTTGTTAAACCTATAATAAAATTGTAGTTTTTGCTTAAATTCCCACCTTCCTGAATTTTAGAATAGTTTTAGATTTACAGAAAATTTGTCAAGATAACAGTGTTCCAATATATACCTACCCCCACATACACACAGTTTCCCTGTCATCTTAGATTAGTGTGGTACATTTGTCACAATTAATGAGCCAATGCTGATAGGTTTTTATAACTAAAGTCCATGCTTTATTCAGAGCTTCTTAGCTTTTACCTAACGTCCCTTTTCTCTCTTAGGAGTCCATCCAGGATTACATGTAGTTGTCTTGTCTCCTGAGTGCCCCATGGCTATGACAGTTTCTCATGCTTTCCTGTTGATGACCTTGACAATTATGAGGAGTAGTGAGCCTTTTGTAGGATGTCCCACATTGGGATTTTTCTGGTGTTTTCCTCATGACGGGGCTGGGGTTGGGGGATGTGGGAAGAAGACCCCAGAGGGAAAGAGCCCTTATCATCAGGTCCTCTCTGGGGCACGACACCAGCATGACTCGTCACTTGACATTAGCCTTGATCACGTGACTGAAGTGGTGTTTGTAAGATCTCCCTTTTTTCCATGCTGTATTTCCTTGGAAGCAAGTCACTAATTATGCACAGTTCACACTTCAGGAGTGGGGTGTTAGGCTCCCCTCCCTGAGGTAGGAACCCACATAAATTA